CTCCTACTACTCAACCTTCCTCCTCCTAGGTCTGACCTTCAAGCCACAGCTAAAACCCTCTCTGACGTTGCTATATTTTTTCCTCACAACCTCTCTTTGTTTTCACTCTAAAACTCTCTGTATTTTCACTATTCGGGAATAGGTTTTGTGCTTACAACCCTAAGCAAACTTATAACAGTATATATATAGGCATATAAAAACCTATGTCTACTTATATTAAGAGATGGAAACCCAACTAAACCATAGTTGGCCAAATACACGATCCCTAACCCTAAAATCCCAATTTAACAACCTAATTAACTTATTTAAAACAATCAAAACTAATTTAATTAAATAAAAACAAAAATCCAATTAACCAATTAATTAAAACCTTAATTACATTACATAGAACAATTAACCAAACAAAACAATTCAATCAAATTAAAGAATAAAACAATTAAATCATATAAAGAATAAAACAATTAATTAAGATAAACAAACAATTTGACACATAAGCACATAGCCACAAAAATTAATTCAAAAATGCATATTAAACACTAAAAAAAAAAAAAAAAAAATTTAATTATATCATTTTTAAATTTAGGGGTATTACAGAGGCCAATAACTATTATTTTGTATCTTATATAACTTTTGGCTTCATGAAATATTATGGAAATATTAAAAAATGACAAGTCATTGTTTCACCATGTTTGCATAGGGTGTGGGAATTCCATTTTTATTCTTTCATAGGGTCTCATTAATCATATATGAAGTGTGGCCAAGGGCCAAATGGTAATTTGAAATCATTTGTTAATTTTGGTTTTCAAATTTTCCATTTCTAGTTCATTATTGCCATTTTTGGCCGTCGGGGGAGTCGTACTTTGCATCGGCTGTATTTTTAAGACGTGGATCATTGTAACACGTCTTAATAGGTAAGTTACGTCTACGTGCATGATCGTTTTCAAGAAAAACCCTTTCCTTGGTGAAATGAGCCTTCTATGGACTCATTTTACATTTTTTTTTTTTTTTTTTTTTTTTGCATTTTCTGGTTTAAAGGGCATTTTGGGATTTTCCTTTAGGAAATAAATTCCGACCTTGATATGGTCACATAGAAAATGTGATTTTAGGGGGGGGGGGGGGGTTCTTCTTTGTGTTATTACAAAAAAAAAAATCGTTTTGATGCCGAAAACAACTCACAGATCTGGAAAATCTGGTGCGCGCCCTTTTTTTAGGTTTTTCTGAAAAAAGTTCTGATCTAAGGGGCATTTCGAGTATTTTACTTGAAAAATAAAAATTTCTCTTGACATGGTCATGTAGAAAGCATGATTTTTTTTGGAGGGAGGGGGGAGGGGTTTCTTCACATTTTTTTTTTTTCAAAAAATGTTGTTTAAGCTTTCAAAACCCCATTTGAAATCCAAAAATCTGCGTAGGCCCTGCACAGATTAGGAACCCGGAAAGTCTGATTTTATGAAACTTTGAAGCTTCATATCTTCTTCGTCCGGACTCCAAATCAAGTGATTTTTGAGTCTAAGTTTATTAATTTTTTCTTGTCTATCCAATGTTATGCACAGTTGCATCCAATTCTATTTGAAAGGACAATTTTACCCCTTGTCAAGTGCCCTTACCGCATTGATTTGAAACCCAAAAATCTAATTATATGAAACTTTGGAGTTTCATATCTTTTTCATCCAGATTCCGAATCAAGTGATTTTTGAGTCTAGATTTATTAATTTTTTCTTGTCTATCTAATGCTATGCTCGGTTTCATCCAATTTTGTTTGAAAAGATCATTTTACCCCTGGTCAAGTACCCTTGCCGCATTGATTTGAAACCCAGAAGTCTAATTTTATGAAACTTTGAAGTTTTATATCTTCTTCATCCGGACTCCGAATCAAGTGATTAGTAAGTCTAGATTTATTAATTTTTCCTTGTCTATCTAATGGTATACTCGGTTGTATCCAGTTTTTTTTTTAGAAAGACCATTTTATCCCTGGTCAAGTACCCTTCCTATTTTGTAATCTTAGCTTTCGTAATTGATTCTTTCAAGTTTCGTGACTTTATGGAAGGTCACCTTGGCGTCTTAGGGATGTCGTATACCCCTAGAGACTTTGTTTATGTTTTCGCTTCCGCATTTCTGATCCATTTCGGGTCATCTTACGGGTTATCACATGACGCACTGGCTTGAAAAACTAGGGTCGTCACACCTTGACAAATCAACCATGCCAATAGGTGCTCGCAAGACTGCGTTAATAGTCAGCCTATGGTGGTTCCATATTACATCCACACCCATAACATGATTAATATTATTTATAGCACACACCATATGGAATTTATACATTCCCCATCCACATTATGTTTAATAACATTTATATCACATAATATAGAATTTATTTATCCTTTCCCATTATTAACTTCGGCGTAACATAATACTTTACGTGAACTACTCTAACGTCGAGCCTAGGGTCCTGGGAGGGGGGGTCTGGGGCAGCGCCCCAGAGACCAGAAAACACTAATAAAATGTCGTGCTAAAACTTCACTGTTTCGAAAAATTGTCGAGTCTTAAAGTAAAAAAGTTTGTCTGTAGTACCAGGAGATTTCAGTTGCCTGAAATCAAGTTTCAGTCGATTGACTTCTCAATTTCAGCCAGCTAAAATTGCCTGGGCGTGCATCTTATCGAGGCTGCACGTTCTTTCTTTAAAAATTCATTAATTACTTCGGGTTATGAAAGGCAAAGACAAAACAGTGTACTAAAATAGAATTATACATGCAATTACCAAAAAAAATCAAAGCGTAGCAAGGGTACAAATCTAAATTGACATTAACAAAGCATGAATTACAAATTTAGTTCATAAATTCATAGATTACAAAAAAAATAGTTGAAGGATAATTCTATTACTTCAAAATTGATTTATACATGATAATAACATTGACAAACATACTAGTTTCGAGGTCAAAAAGGTGGAAGGTTTATAAATTCAAAGGGGAAAAGAAGAGATGGATTTGTCTCTGAAATTTGCAAGTAAATGTAATTACAAATAATCAATCTAATGTCACAGTCTTCCACGGATCCTTTTATACAATTCGGCAGTCTGGGAAAAATCATTGCCTTCTATTTCTCTCTCTCTCTCTCTCTCGTTCAGTTTTTCTCTCTTTGCATCAATGTGTTATACGTATATTCTATATAAACTGAAATCCCTAGGTGTTAATCTAGGGCATACATAATATGGACTTGGGCCTAAATAAAATGCCCAACTCGTAATATCAAATTGCTGCATGAAATCCATGACCTGATAGCCTTTACCCTAAAGCCCAATGATAAACCTAATACAAAATAAAACATATAAATAGTAATTACACAAAATACACATAAACAAATAATTAATTAAATAATCAAAAAGTAAATAAAAACCTCATTTATTTAATTAGCAAAATCACTGGGTATTACAGCAAGCTACCATGTTAGTAGGTTATGGGTGCACGATCCTACATTTTCTGGATAAGGTGAAAGTGAAGTGCTTATATGTGTTTGTGTTGTCTCCAAATGCTATGAGGCCTTTTGGGATAAAACTAAGAACAAAATCGTGTGGGCTCGGCCCAAAGCGCCATGTGGTGAAGTGTGTTGTTACGAATAGTATTAGAGCCAGAGCCTAATCGGAAGTTAGCCAAGGAGGACGTTGGGCTCTAAGGGGGGTGATTGTGGTGACCTCGTGGGTTAGTGTGCGTGAGCAGGTGGTAGGCACTAGTAGACTACGATCCCACATCGCCTGGGTAAAGTGACAATGAAGTGCTTATATATGCTAGTGCTGTCTTCAAATGGTATGAGGTATTTTGGGGGTAAAATCCAAGAACAAAATCACATGGGCTTGGGTTCAAAATGAACAATATCATACCATATGGTGGAGTGGGTCGTTACATGTCCATACCCAACCTCCATTCGAAACCCTAGTTTTCATCTTCCACTACTTGCCGCCCCCACTGCCTTCATCCACTGCTCGATCAATTCATATATGTTTTAAATTACACTAAATCATATCAAATGGGTATGCTTTAAATTCCTCTATAAGCTTTGAAAGAGTTAAAATTCAACCTTGAACTGGATTAAAAAGGGTTTATTATTAAGGTTACAAACAAGACAAATTTCTATCCTTATTCGATCAATTCGTATATGTTTTTCTGAAGGAGATATAAGACACTATTTATTCCTGGATTTTAACTCCCATGCTTGGGATGGGTAGTGGATTTGTTCAAACTCATTTTTGTCATTAAAGAAAATGGTGGATATAGTACAGTTTGGAATAATGGATTGTAGGATTTTGGAATGATTAAAACATATACAAATTGATTGAGGGCAAAGGCGGTGGTGGTGGTAGCAACGAGCTTTGGAGGATGATCACTATTGGTTTCACCGCCACCAGCGAGCTTTAGAGGATGATCACTATTGGTTTTGAATGGAGGTTGGGTGTGTAGCTCTCGTTTTCTTATTAAGGAAGAGAGAGGAGAGTCACGCGACTCACACAAGAAGGGGGTTATTGTGACTCACGAAGAAAAAAACTTTGGATTTAATCCAAAAAAAGATGGGTAATGCCCATCTTTAGATCTTTTTAATTTTAAACAAGTGTCTAAATTGCAGTGGACCACATCAGTTCGGAGGATGCGGGCGGGACCAAGCATTATTGTTTGGAACCTCGTAATTTAATGCAGATTGGATTTTAAAAGTAATTTTAGTTATTTGGAAGGATGGATTTTTAGAAGGAAATAGGATTTGAAGGGATTCCACAGGAAAACTACTTAAATTATTAAAATGAGTGACCATTTTACTAAATCACTCATCTTACAAACCTCGTATCTTTTCATACTAAAATTGTACAAATTTTTTAATTTTTTTAAAATTCCATTTTTACAAATTCCAAATACGTAAATTGAATTTTATTTTAATTACTCTAATTTTAAATCCAAAAGAAGTTGGTTCAAACAAAGCGTTTTATTTCTTCCTTTTGCTTGTAGACTCGTACTCCACAATCCATATACGATAATATAAGTACAGTAAATGGGTCCCCTGTTTTGAACCCAGTTTGCGGGAAGGGATTTTCCTGCTTCCCAAACAAGCTTTTCCGCTTCCTATGCCCTAAGGTTCGCACGCAGTTGTAATTGCAAAACATTATTCTCGATCGCAAAAAATCTAGGAAAGTAATGGATCGTGGAGAGGGTTCTGGTTCCAAACCCTCTGACGAAATCTGGGCCAAACTTGGTATGTGTTATACATTTATCATTCACAAACACACACAATATTTGTACACAATGTTCATGTGAATATGTCAACTGCTTCGTACAAACACAATTCATGCTGAGAAATTTCATGAATTGTTAGAAAATAAGTTATTATTTTGTTTGCTTTCCACTATTCTCTCAGTAACGGAATGGAGTCTCAGTTCTTTGTACGAGTAGTATACTATTTTGATCGTTTTTCTCTGGTATTATTTGAAGTTTTTATTTGTTTTGTTGTACCAATGCGTTTGCCAGAAAATAAATTGCGGGTCTCAATATGGTTTAATTGAATTGGCCACAGATCAAAATCACATGGTGCTGAGTTCTTGAATTTTGTATTCTTTGTTGTGTTTCATTGCTATTGGAAGTGGTCCTTTTATATTCATTTTTGTATGTAAAGTGAGGGTATTCCCTCCTTAGATGGCCTTGCATGCTTTATTCTTTTTTAAAAAATGCTTCATTTCGGAAAAAAGAAAGAAAAGAAAAAAAAAAAAATCACATGGTACTTGTAGTATGCTAGTCACCTGTTTAAAGCTTATGTTCCCGGGGTGGAACATCGTAATTCTATGGTGGTGGTTGTATTTCTAGACATCTTTCGCCACCCAATCAAAGGTAGCTCATACTTTGTGATCCATCCTTTAGTTGCTTCAAATTGATGACTTCCAAAACCTATTCTGCTGGCTGAGTGACAAATTCATATATTGTGATTTTCACTTTTTTATTTTTATTTTATATATTTTATAATATAAATATAAATACAAATACCAATATAATCTTTACCATTTGGAAACCATTTCACATAGTCATTAGTAGCATAAATTTGGCCTCTAGTCCAAAATTTGTTTTCTTGTCGCAGTATCATCGGACTCAAGATATTCAGATGTTGAACTGAGATCGAATGAAATGGTTATAGTCTCGGAGGTTGCATCCTCGACTAGTGACAGGCATGAATGGTGTAAAATAACAAGGAGGTTAGATTTGTGTTCTGCTACGCTGCAGAATAATAGGTATGACACATTTCATTGAATAGTTCAATGTAAATTGTTCACTATTTATTTTTCACTCATCAAACTTCATATTCTTGCCTCCATGGAAAGATTTGATGAGTAATATGATTTTTTACTTTTTTATTTCTGCGAAAATATGAAAGAGAGAAGCATTGATTAAGTTATTCGTTGAATTCCTGTGAATAACCCAAAAGATGCTCTTAAACTTCCATCGGAAACGAGAACATTGGGACAAAATACCTTTCCTCTTTTGTTGATTATAAATGATAAATCAAAACCTTTTTGTAGAGAAAAAAAATGCTTGAGATTTGTTTAGAAGAGTTAAAGGCCCAACATTAACAGAACAACTTATAATTTTCTTTATCTATTGTATTGAAATGATAATATCGCATAATTAGGTAGAAATTTCTTTTAGTCAGTTTGTAGATAACGATCAATAGCCCAAAAAGAAAAAAAAAAAAAAAAAAAATGAAATAAAAAATAAATCATGAACTTGTTTTGTGCCACATGTGATATTATGCTGCATATAACACATGTATATTCTTTTTGATAGATGAACCTTGTGCACTTATATTAACTTTATTGTGGAGATTCTAGAAAAAACCTTACTTTTCTTTCTCTCCAAAACATTAACATTATAATGCAAAACATTGTCAGGTTATAATTTTAAAGCTAATATTGATTTAGAAAGAGAATGCGTATAGGGACTCTTCAGATTTATTTCTTTTACAAACATACTGAATTTTTCTCTCCGGTATAAGATCTTATCCGGAGAAATCTACCAAGTTATTAGACTCCATAAATTTGAGTTTCTAAAATCACATTCGTTGCTGCTTGTTAAGTGAATGGCGGACTCATTTAACATTTTAAATCTTTTTTTTTTTTTTTTTTTACTTTTTTTTATTTATTTTTTATAAGTAATAATTCGTTAAAAGAGGTCAAAAGGGGAACACATCCCTCAAAAACAACACAAGGCACTTATCAAAAAAAAAGAAAAACAACATAAGGCCAAATAGGGCCTCTAAACCCTCAATAAATCTAAAAACTCTATAAGCTCTTCCAAGGATTTACAATTTCTCCCTAGGACCCAACAAAAGAGAGTTCTAAGAATGGGGAACTTTAATGACCCCATATGATTTTCCTTTCCTTCAAATGATCTTTTATTTCTTTCAAGCCACAAACACCACCAAACGCACCAAGGAGTAACCCTTCAAGAGTCTTGAGCTTGGGCCCCGCTATACAACCTCTCCAAGCCTCAATCAAGCCTTTGGTAGATCGTGGCATAACCCAGTGAATTCCGAACAAACCCAGAAACAAAAGCCAACAATCTTGAGCCACTGGGCAATGCAAAAGAAGATGATCAACTGATTCCTTGTCTTTTTTGCACACAAAACACCAATTAACCCCGATTTGTTTTCTTCTCTGAAGATTGTCCCGAGTCAAAATCTTTCCCAGAACGGATGTCCATGCAAAAAACGCTACTTTGAAGGGCGCCTTTGTACGCCATAATGCCATATGGCCCTTCATGGGAAGGTCTGTCCAGGAACATCCACGACACAACAATAAAATGATTGAACATTGAAGCGCCCATGAGAAGATGGAATCCACACGCAAAGATTGGAAGTATCCTTCTCAATCTCCTGATGATATAGCAGCTCCAGAAAGCTGATAGCCTCCTGCATCTCCCAGTCGTGAAACAACTTCAAGAAATGCACATCCCATTCTCTTATTCCACGATCAAGATGATAGCAATCGTCCACTATGGCATGTCTATCAGTAGCAACCCGAAAAAGTCTAGGGAAAGTGGTAGCAAGGGAACGATCCCCACACCAGATGTCATCCCAAAAACGTATATTCCTGCCAATTCTGACTCGAAATCCAATGTGCTTGGAGAATTCGTCCCAACCCTTTCGAATATGTTTCCAAACCCCCACCCCAAAAGGGGTTCTCACCTCGGGAGAACACCATCCTCCAGTTGCCTTTCCATGTCTGCTCACAATCACCTTCCTCTATTGTCTGTGCCTCTCCACTCCGAATCTCCAAAGCCATTTTCCTAGTAATGGCTTATTAAAAGGTACTAATCTTTTGATTGCCAAACCTCGTTTTTGAATTGGGGTGCAAACTGTTGCGTTCCTTTGACAAAGAACGAGTAAGAGGCCTGTTTTCTAGTAATAAAGGCCTGTTTTGGTGATGACGTCACTATGGGCGATTTCACCCCACTAGGGGCGATTTCAAGGCGATAGTGACTTTGTCCTTTTCTTTCTTTTTTTGTTTTCGTTCGTGATGAAATTTTATTTAGAGATTGCAAGGATTCCAAGAATTTCAATAACTCGGGATGTGAAGTTGGCAGTTCCACATCGAGGACCGTCTTTGTACATCGACGGGGAGTCCGTCGCAGGGAGGAAATCAGTTCTCTCATCTTGCTTGGTCGGGCCTTTTGACAAGGAAGTTGGGGGTTGTGATCGTGTGGAGGAATGGGCTGCGAGAGCATGGAATACGTCCTGTGGAGTGGTTTCTTTCAGGTTTCCTTCTCAGGCCGAAGCCCAACGTGTGTTGAAGGAAGGCCGGCGTTAATGGGGATCTGCAACCCTGCGGATCGATGTATGGTCTTTTAGGGTTGGTTGTTGCGGCGTTCTTAGAGAAAAAGGTCTCAAGCAGATCCGGCTGTTTGGACTTCCCCTTCACCTATGGTGTCATGCTTTATTTGTTGAAGTAGGGGAGTTGTGCGGCGGATTTGTGGGAGCTGTTGCTGATGAAACAAGGGATGCCGAAAGTGTTCGGATTACAGTGAGAATAGGATCGACCTGTCCGTAATTTGTGTTTATTAATGATGACACTTTCTGTTATAAGGTGGCGATCTGGGAAGAAATTATGCCGGCGTTGGTTCCCTCGACAGAGAGTATTGAAGGTGGCGACGAGCCTTATCTTATGCCGGATAAAGAATGGGTGCGAGGAAGATCAAGCAAACGACACGCGCCAGTCATACGCGTCATAGTTGACAAGGATAAACCTACATGTGGCGCTCGTAGAGACTCAATTCCAGATTCGACCCTATACTTATCTACAAGGGTTGGTGAGGAAGCTGGGCTGGGTGCACAGATTGGCCTAAAGTTGATTTGGGCCGGAGGGGTTATGGGCAAACTAAAGCGTTAAGGTTCAAGCCTGATTTTGGGCCTAAGCCAGCCCACACGAGGACCCAACTCATTTTATGTTTCAGTTCTTAATGAATCAGATCCAAGGAAAGCCCATGTTCACCCTCAAACCCAATATCAAAGTCTCTCCTCTTCTTTATTTCAGTGTCGGACTGAGAAAGAAAAGTGGAAACGGCCGGTTGCCTCAGCTAGTCGACAGGGTACCCGATGGACTCGTATTGAAAAACAAAAATGGGTAGCACGCTCTCCTTCTCCAGGTTCAACCTCTGTCTCTCATTCTAGGAGCTCATCTTCTACCCCTTCTTCGTGTGAGGTGATGGGAAATGGTGAAGGTGGAGTGGAGGATCGTTTGGATCAAAGGAGAGGTCTTTTTGAAGCCATTGTTCCACGGGATGTAGAATCACCGTCTTTAATGACCAAGTCCGAAAGTATTAGTTGTTCCAACGGGGTGACAGTTTGTGTTGGACGAGACCTTCATTTTAAGCTGACAGATGATTTAGCCATGTCTTTACTTAATGAACTTAAGCTCTGTGTTGCTCTAAAAGGCTTAAATGGTCTACCCTCCGTGACTGGGACGAATTCTACCCATGATTTGATGACAAATTTTACAGATGACCCTGGAACAGAGTTGAATCTGCAATTAAACTTGTATCAGAATAGTGTTGAAAGCAAAGGGGAGGACTTTGAAGGTCAGTCTCAACAGATCTGTCCTCTTGTGTGGGATATTGATCAATCTGATGTGGACATTACGGAACCCTTAGCAACTGTACACCCTGATTGCTTAGAGACGGTTAACGATTTGGGTATGGACTAGGTGTTGGATAATATTGGCGAGGTCAGCGAAGCTTCGGGTGTCTCCTCGGAAGGAGATGATGATCGAACACAAACCATTCTTCATGATATTGTGGTAGGAAATAATAATACAGAGACCTCTAAAAGCACAAAAGTTGTTAAAAATAGGAAACATGCACATCGGAAAGGTGATCAGGAGGTTAAGAACCTTATTTCTAATGTAAATTACGAAGGGAAGGATGGGGTGAATAAAGAAAGGGGAAGGACCTGAAGTGGGAAGCAGGGCGGAGGGGCACTGATCATTTTTGGTTCTTAATGAAGATACGAATTATTACATGGAACGTCCGTGGATTAAATGATCCGGACAAAAAAAAGGTGGTTAAAGTTGCTTTAACGAAGTGGAATGCCCATTTTATTTGTTTGTAAGAAACCAAGTTGGCTTCTGTTTCTGATGGTGTGGTTAGAAGCCTTTGGGGAAGTAGGTTCGTGGATTGGGAAGCCTTGAACGCCTCTGGTACATCAGGTGGCATTCTTATTATGTGGGATCGTAGATGGATGTCCAGAACGAATATCTGGAAAGGGCTATTTTCTTTGTCATGTGTGTTTCAGATGGAAGATGATAATTTTAGTTGGGTCTTTTCTGGAGTTTATGGACCCGTTATTGATTGTGATAGACCTATTTTTTGGCAGGAACTTAGCTACATTAAGGAATTGTGGTCGTTGCCTTGGTGCTTAGGCGGGGATTTCAATTCTGTTCGGTCTCCATTTGAGAGATCCACAGGGGGGAGGTGGTCTTCGGAGATGACCCAGTTCTCCGACTTTATTGATGGTCACCTTCTTATTGATTTGCCTTTGGAAGGGGCAACTTTCACTTGATCTAGCGGCAGAGAATCAGTTACTTTATTGAGGCTCGACAGATTCCTGATTTCTGGAGATTGGGAGGAGAAGTTCCCGGATGTCACTCAGGCAGCTTTGGTTAGAGTCATGTCTGATCATGTGCCCTTAGTTCTTGATTGTGGAGGTATGAGATCTAGATGGACTCCATTTCGTTTTGAA